TGCTGAAACTGAATATTCAGAATTCAGAAACTAGTGTAAATTACTCATTTCTCCTCAACTTACTGGTTACTGAAATTAAGCCTTTGGGAAATGGTGAGTTTCATAAAAACAGTGGAGGTACAACATTGGTATTTGGTATTGGATTATATTTGCTTATATATGTGCACACTGAGGGAATTTTGTCATTTATTTAACCAGTAAATGATCCTTTCTTAATTTATGAGTTAGCTCACACAACAACACCGGTACCTTTCAGTGACTTAATAACTGATTAGCATGAAAAGACCAGCACCTGAGCATATTGATTAGTAGAGCTAATTTTTTTTTTTTTTTTCAAAAAGAATGATGGCTGAAAAGTTGATGAGCCAAGAATCAAAAGCTAATAAATTAGTTTGCCATATGAGCCATATATTAGCATTATCCCACTCATTCACATCATTCTTGTAAGCAAATCACCTCAAATGTACTGCCAATGGAATTGTGTAGCATTTTGATGTGTACAAATTATATGGCATTGCAGTGTCACAAGAATAGCTGAATCTTACTTCCTTGATCTTTCTTTAGGTTTTTCAGAAAAGTCAAGTAACAATATGATGAAGTACTAAGATTATGCAAGTATTAGAATGCCAATTTTTCCTCTGAGTTACAGAGTTTAAAGAGTTTGAAAAGTATTTATTATTTTTGAAGCTTGCAATTTTACTTTTTGCAAGCTCATTATTAAGTTAAAGCATCCACAGTTTTCACAGAGAAATACAAGTAATTAATCAAGATTGTTTTACCATTGGAGACCTTGAAAACATAGCCTTTATGTTCTAAAAGTTTAGTTGCAATTAAAAAAACCCAAACAACAACAATTCTTAAATTTTTAACCATATGTACGTAGCTAAAACTTAAAAGTGCCTTTGTGAGATTAGCTAGCTGATGTTCAACACTAAGACCTTGGAAGAGCTGATCACTGCCAGACTGAAAAAAACCCAGAATCACAGAATGGTTTGGATTGGAAGGGACCTCAAAGACCATCTAGTTCCAACCCCCCTGCCATGGCCAGGGACACCCTCCACTAGACCACGTTGCCCAAAGCCCC